TCTTCAGTAAAGAGTTCTTTTTGTGAAGTCACATTCCCACTGTTGAACTTTCATTTTATTATCTCTTTGAAAAGCACTGCTACATAGGCACTCATGCTATAGCATTCCCTTGCACCTGCTCATTGCATAAGATTAATAAGTGGAGAGTGATAAAAGGAAGTAACACTTTTTCCTTCAAATCCAAACATAAGGTAATTGCTTATGTGTCAAAAATGACACAACTTAGATAAACCTGTTTTTTACAGCAAGAGACATTTTGTCACTAGGCTTTGAGATTGTGTTCCATATAAATTTGGCTATACCGAGCAAAGGATGAAAAAAGAGAAAAATCTTACCTCAATAAGGCAAAAATAATTCCTTCCTATCTAATAAGTACAGCGAGAGTTTGGTATTTGAAGATGAGCTGTCAAACATAATATAATTGCAAAGTGATTAATGTTGAAATAATCATAATCTGAAGCATTGCTCTATGAATAATTACAAAACTGTGCCATAAAGAAATAGTCATGGTCTTTCCTAATGTGATTATCATAGGGGAAACCAAGGCCTTGGTCTAATAATTAGAATATATTGCCCACAGAATTTGACTTTTGGAATTATGAGATTATGTGGAGGAGCAATTTGTCAAGGTTCAATCTAGGCTGAAATAAAAATGCTGAATGTCTAAAATTGCAATTTGATACCTATGTAAGGAAACAAAACCCCTTGATTTCAACAAGACCTGACAGGTTTCTGGGAAGTCCAAGAGTTGGCAATGGCCACATATCTGAAGGTTACCAGGTTAAATAAAGTTGATAGAGAAATAGAGAATATGTGTCTGTGTAGCATCCAAGAAGCCCCGCTGAACACATTACAAATTTGAAAAGCTGGAAGATGAATGTGTATTAAAATAGAAAGTATAGATTCAAAACCAAGAGGCAGAAAGAATCTTAAAGAAGGGGTAAGAGTATTAGATGGGTATAGGGGAATATAAAGGTTAGTATGTGGAAGACTATATCAAATTACAGAGCACTCTAATGTAGCAAACAAGAGGCTCATTAAGTCTAGTTTATGGCAAAGGTCATCATCATCATCATCCAACAAATTTTGAGCACTGCTGCACAGGACCTGGCAACATTTTATGTTGTAGCATTGTTGATACCTGAAAGCAGCAGGGAAGTGTAAAATTATCCAGTGTGCCTTGGGTATTTATGCAGTAACAGTGAGACGAGGCTAATACGAATGTATTTACTAGATTTAGAAGCTATCCATCTCCAGAATTATTCTGGACAGCTTACCCTGAAAATAGAAAAACAATTTTAAAAAAACCTTAATGTCTGGACAGACTAAATAGCAGCCAATCTCTGACCACCCTACTCCAAGCCTAAATGAGGGAAAGGGAGGGAGGGAGGGAGGGAGGAAGGAGAAAAAGAAAGAGAAAAAAAGAAAGAAAGAAAGAAAGAAAGAAAGAAAGAAAGAAAGAAAGAAAGAAAGAAAGAAAGAAAGAAAGAAAGAGGAAGGAAGGAAGGAAGGAAGGAAGGAAGGAAGGAAGGAAGGAAGGAAGGAAGGAAGGAAGGAAAAGAAAAAAAGAAAGACTTTACTGCTATGTGGTGGTTTTTTAAAAAAAATTAGTTTTACATCGTTGCCCATCATACAAAGAACAACTCAGGGCAGTATACAACAATTAATGAAACACAAATATGTGAAAATAATTATAAAAGTATTAAAAATCATTACTAAAATGAAAACCACTGAAAAATTACATACTGCACAGAGTTAAAAGATCAGCCAATAACTAAACTTCACCCAAAAAAAACTTTTTAAAAAGCCACTTGAAGGGTTAGAGGTGTATGGGAGTAGAGAAGAGTTTTAAAATAGATTTTTGGGGAGAAGATTTGAATTGAGATTAAAAGCAAATCAAATGAATTAAACTTAGTTATGACATGTGTTGGCTCATATTTTTAAAAATGTGAAAAATTGTACCTCCTTTTGAATTTCAGACAGATGATCTGAATACAAAAATGGGCCTACGGAACTAGGTGCAAATTGCAACTGTAGGTTGTCCATTCTTGGTCAAAAAGAGGTCTACATTTCTAGAAGAACTGCAATTTTGCTTGTTCTCACTATGAATCTGGAAGGATGATCAGACACGAGGAATCTGCCTATCATCTTCACATTCAGTAAAAATTATGAACCAAATGGGATGCTTCAGAGGTGTTGTATAAAATCTGCAAAAAAAAAAAAAAAAAAAAAATAGCAAGGGAAATATAGCTTTTTGTGCTTGGTCTATAAGCTTGGATACCAGGCTTATTCCAAAGTAAATTACTGACCAAACTAAGCCTTTCTCCTGGATTCACAACATTTGTCTCCAGTTAGCTAAATATAGTTTATTATACTTCCATAATACTCGTAATGCGTAGTTAAATGAAAATTGAAATATTTAGCCCTACTCCCACCTCTCTATACAGGTAGTCCTTGACTTACAACGGTTCATTTAGTGACCGTTCAAAGTTACAACGGCACTGAAAAAGTGCCTTATGAATGTTTTTCACGCTTACGACCTTTGTAGCATCCCCATGATTATGGGATCAAAATTCATATGCTTGGCAACTCACTCATACTTACGGCCGTTGCGATGTCCCAAGGTCATGTGAACCCCTTTTGTGACCTTTTGACTAGCAAAATCAATGGGGAAGCTAGATTCACTTAATAATCATGTTACTAACTTATCAACTGCAATGATTCACTTAACAACTGTGGCAAGAAAGGTTGCAAAATGGGGCAAAACTCACTTAACAAATGTCTCGCTTAACAACAGAAATTTTGGGCTCAATTGTGGTCATAGGTCAAGGATTACCTGTATGCGTGTTTGTTTGGGTGCCTATCTTTTGGTCAATTCTACATTGTAAAATGAACCTGTCATCACTTTTACCCAAGAGGAATATTTTCTGATTGCATTTAAGAAGCAATTAGAAATTGTTTGCTTTTCTGGCACTAGGATAATTGTTCCAAATGTTCCTTCAAAATTTAAACAGACCCAGTCTTATGTATGCCATTAATCAAGTGTCTATTTCTATTTCTATCATAATTCATATTTTTGAAGCATCCGTTTGTTCTTTTCCATGTTTGAAATGATTCCACGTGAAATTCATATACAATTAATGTACATGCCCATATACATTCATATACATTCATATACAATTCACGTACATGCTGGCTTGGGCATGTTGTGAGAATGGCTGATGGTCAAATTCCGAAAGATCTCCTGTATGGAGAACTAGTGCAGGGAAAGCGCCCCAGAGGGAGACCTGAGCGGCAATATAAGGATATCTGCAAGAGGGACCTAAAGGCCTTGGGAATGGACATTAACAGCTGGGAATCCTTGACCTCTAATCGTTCAGCCTGGAGGCTAAAGACACACCATGGCCTTCTCCAATTTGAAGAGACACTTGTGCGGCAGGCTGAGGCAAAGAGGCAGTCCCAGAACCAGCGAAATCTGGGGGCTGGACAAGGGACAGATTGTATCTGCCCTCAGCGTGGAAGGGACTGCCATTCTCAAATTGGCCTTTTTAGCCACACCAGATGCTGCCTTAGGACCTCTTTCCAGAGCACGATACCATAGTCTCTCGAGACTGAAGGATGCCAATGGACATGCCCATGGGCATGGATTGAATATGAAGCTTCATATAGCATATGTTGGTTTTTCTAAAATCATATTTTTGCCTGTATTGTCTCCTAACATATGCCTTTTTATGGGTAATTTTTATCCAGAATTTTGTGTAATGTTTGTTTATTTGTACTCACCTTCTACATTTCAGAACTGCCCTGCAACACTCTGAGAACTGTCAAAAATTAAAAGACAATTGTGTGGGTTCATAATAATAGTTTGGACAATAGAAGTTAGCTTATTGTTAGCTTAAGAAGTAAATAAAATGAATTTTCCCTCATTCATACAATGGGCAGGCAAAACTAAAAGAACAAATTATTTTGTGTGTTAAGTCCACTTGTCATGTGACATTACTGTACTGACTTTTCCTGGTTGCATTATCTAATTTAGGGTAAAGACAGAGGCCTCTTTTAGTGCTAGCAAAGAGCTAATAAAAAAGAGCACTTTTCTCAGAAGCCTCTGTGGGCCATACAGTAGTTCTGCATGGTGGTTAAGCTGATCTTTAATGAATACCGTATTTTTCCATCCATAAGATGCTCTGGCATGCAAGTGTCTCCGTGACAATCAGCTGTTCGGCGAAGCGCCGAACAGCTGAGCTGGCAAATCCGGAAGTTCGGCCGGCCGACAATCTTGCCCCCTCCCCCCTCCCGTTAGTGGCAAGCCCACAGGGGCTTGACACCTGCACCAGGCGGCATGGCAGCGGCATGTAAAGAACCCACACAGGCATGCGCTGGGCTGTGGAAGTTGCCATTATTTTTCGTGTATAAGACACTGCACTTGTATAAGACGCACCTGATTTTTGAACAGGGTGTTTGCAGGAAAAAATAGTGTCTTATACACGGAAAAATACGGTATTATACATCTCAGCATTTAGAGGAATGACTTGTTAATTTATTTATTCGGTGGCAAAGACTCACACACCTAGATTGGGGTTATTTTAATTGTTACAATTTTTGCTGCTGCTACTTTGCAACATGGGTAAATCACTATTTGTGTTTTGGACATAGAAGGTGTCTACAAGCAAACAGTGAGGAGACAGGGGGATCAGCCATTTCTGTGCCATATGAAGTAATATTAGAGTTTCAGTATTGCAAAGAATTGCAGATAAGCTTCTTATTGTGCATATTTTTTTCATTTACAAAGCATATATATTTAAATCAAGAAACATATATTGAAGTATGAAATTGTTTTTGGTGCTGCTTCCTCACTTAAAGACTACTTTGCCTGAAGTGCAAGCGTGAAATATTGCTGTTATTATTTCTCCTCCTCCTCCTCCTCCTCCTCCTCCTCCTCCTCCTCCTCCTCCTCCTCCTCTCTTAGCAATACATTAACAGACAGATCTTCTTGTTCACAGAAAATGCAAACAAACTGGAAGAAAGTGCCAGGGGAATCTACATTCCATGTCCAGAACATTATAATGGTTTCTGCATGCATGGAAAATGTGAGCATTCTGCTAATATGCTGGAGCCATCTTGCAGGTAACTTTTTCTTCAAACTGATCACCTGAACAGGCAGACCTGATAAAAAGAAATGTCCCCCCCCCCGTGCACTAAAGAAAACAATTGTTGAACCCTCATCTACTCTAGATCTAAATTATGTACAGAGATACCTAATGTATGCAGCCAAGCTGCGCTGAATTATGCAGCAGCATTAATCTGTTTATAAAAGCATTCCTGCAATGTCTGTCAATCCATTCCTAACTAAAAAGGCATAACAGAGCATAGGCTGGCCCGGTGGGTATTTGTTGTTGATTTTTAGCACATGGCCAACAGTTCTTGTCCCAGGAAATCCCACAGCGAGCAAAAGTCAAGAACTATGTCAACATCAATTTCTCCATGTGGGAAAATGGCTGAAGACAGAAGATTTGCACTGACGAGGGTTGAAATAAGGTTAGTTTCAGAAAGGAGCATTGCATTGCATGCAAGGGAGTTTAAGTCAGTCTTGTCTCCTCTCACCTAACAGCAAAGAGTGAGGGCAAGCAGGAAGGTAGATTGTTGGATTTCCAGCCCCCTAAGCTGTCAGACTTAGGATTTTGGAACCTGTCAGAGGAATTCCAAAGTATAAAAAAAGTAAATTGATGTCCTTTGGGAAAAGGAATATCCAAGGAAATCTGGATTGTCTGCTTGGATGAAAACAAGCATCATATGGACAGTCCTTCAGACAGTTCCAACAAAGAGGTTGGAGGGGGGGTCCTGCTTGGCCATCTTTTCAGCAAATGTCCCACACTGCCCCAAAAACATTCTCTGCTCCTCTTATTCATTTTAATTCAGTCTCAGAATTCCAGGTTGCCTCTTTCACTCTCATCCAGCATATGAAGCCATGAAGGCAACATCCCCCTCTTTTAAAAAAAATGATAAAAAGGCTAGACCAAGAGTCAAAATGGATGTACTAGGATGGTATTAGTTCTACATTGTGTAAATACAGATTTGCCTCAGGTATTTTTTTATTCATTTATTTTCCTTCCATTTATATAATGCTGTAATTCAGATATAATTCCCAAGAATTAACATAACTAGACCTAACGTTTAAAATTTTCCACAGTTGATTATGAATAAAACATCCAGAGCAAACATAGCAAACTCAACAAAGGGAGCAATGATAATGAGCTAATCAATGGCATATAAACACCTTCTGTTAATCACACACAACCAACTCAATGCATGCAGCATGTTGAACGCTGAGCAGGAGTCCAAATTTAAAAGCAAACGATGCATGTGGGTGAGGGCGGAAGAACCCTCATTCTTTTAGAATAACTCCTCGGGTGGATTTCTTTCACTTTGAACCAGCTTCCGAACTCAGCTGAGAGAAAAAGGATGTGGAGAGATTATGGTTTACAGTACATTGCAGGCAAGGAAGAAATCAGTAGTGCTCTCACAGGGATCTTTCCCTGGGACATCAGATCTGCATTTAAAGCCCATGACTCTGCTATGGTCACATTTAGTCTATGCTAATGCTAGAGGGAATGTCCTAACTGTTGGTTCTTTGTAAATCACAGAGCCCCATTGAGGCTACTCCTCAGAGGTAAGAAACAAGCCATTCAAAAGCTTAAGACAGCTGTCCTGGTCCTCCCAAGGTCTCTGGGATATATATATATATATATGCATGGTTCCAGTAGAGATACTTTATGGGTATGACCATGCATTCCTTCAAAAGACCTCAAAGCAGCCTAACTCCTGAAGTGCAGTTCAGCGATATCGTCCAATGGAAGCAGATTTTCCACCATGCCCATGCTCTCGGAGCTACATATTAGGAATAGCTAGAAGTGATAATGAAGTGCTGAACGACAGGCCTTATTTTACCCTGGTCTAGAACATCCAGAACAGATTAATGTTGTGGTTGGCTTAATATTCTCCTTTCCTTTAAGATGCCAATGCAGCATCAAGTTTGTCCTGGATTATTTGATTTAAGTAAAAGTATGAATTTAATAATGAGTAATAACAATTCACTAACCAGTTTCCTTCAAATATAGGCTCTTCTCATGTGGTAGACCTGTAAAATCCTCCACCACTGTGGCCTTTAAATTAAAGGCCAACATAGGGAAGGGTGACTTAGAACCAACTAATCGCTTCAAGAAAACATTTCTTTTAATGTTTAAGTCAGCATGTATTGAGATAGGCAATTACCTCTAATTACAAAAATCAATTTCGTCTGTTACTTATTTATTATTTTTATGCCATCCATCTTCCCTACAAGATGACTCTGGGTGGCTTACAAGTTATTAGAAAGGCCTCAGAAAGTTATTATACCAAGCATGCCCAACAATTGTCTGTTGATCCAGTTATCAAACTTTGTTTGAAGCTGAATTTATCTCTGCAGACAAAGGAATGAAGGAATCTGTATTTCTCATTGTAGATGTGATGCGGGCTACACTGGACAACACTGTGAAAAGAAAGACTACAGCGTTTTGTATGTGGTTCCAGGCCCTGTTCGATTTCAGTATGTCTTAATAGCAGCAGTGATTGGAACAATTCAGATTGCAATCATCTGTGTTGTCGTTCTCTGCATTACAAGGTTAGTCCAGTATCATCTTTTTATGACATTCTTCCAGACTCTGACATCTGAGTGTCAAGACATAGAAAGCCAGCATGCAGGTATCATGTATTCCCTCCTTTCATCTAATCCAGTGTTTCTCAACCTTGGCAAATTTAAGATGGGTGGACTCCCAGAATTCCCAGACAGATATGCTGGCTGAGGAATTCTGGGAATTGAAGTCCACCCATTTTAAATTTGCCAAGGTTGAGAAACAGCGGTCTAATCAATAACTAAACAGAAACTACCTGGAGACACTGAGAAGTAATACTAACTACAGATGGGATAATCTTTTTCTGCTTTCAATGTTTTGGATTGGCTCATGTATTACTCCTGAATTACTTAGAACAGACTATGAACATCAAGCAGGTTTCTTCCTCAGATGTTCAGCTTAGCACAAGTCACAAGTGGCAATCATATAAAACTGCAAAAATTCAGTGTCCATGTATATCTTAGTCTTTGAATTATAAACCACCCTTCTCAGAGCCCTATTTTAAAAATATAGTAACCTTTGAAAAATGACTTTTCATTTAGATCAGTGGGTTTTTTTCCCCCTAAGTCATGCTCTAGGGAATCCTTGATTTCTTTGAAAATGTTAATGGCTGTAGCAAGCTTCACTGAAAGTCTCCTAGCCTACAAATGTACCGTTCTTTCAATACAATGTTCACTCACCATAGGCATCCTGGCTACATCTAGCCTTTCTCACTTTTTGCAACTATAGTTCACAGAAAACGTGAGAGGGCCCAATTAAACAAATGTCTCTCTCCAGGTTTTCATCTTTAGAAATGTGCTTTTGGGTGAATAATAAGAAATATTGTTGTCACCCATTTCCATTTTTAAAAGCCTTTTTCAGCAAAATTTTATACCAGAAATATAAACCCAAATTAAATATTTACCACTGGAGGTTGATTCTGACATGGGTAATGGGATCTGGCTAGTAAAGACTGAGGTTCTGTAGCAGAATATTCTTCACCAGCTGTGGTCTGATCATGAATTTTAATGAGGTGATCCAGAGGGCTCCATTTGTTTGTGCCTTACTACAGTTGACAGGGCTGGGATGCTCCAGGCCCCATCCATCAAATAATGTCATCTTGTAGGACTTAGGAGTCATACCTTCTCTGTTTTGGAACTTGTCACATGGAGAGCAGAAATAAGGCTGTCCTTGATCTTTCTGGCCTTCACAAGATTTTGAAGACTTTGATATTCCCTCACACTTGGGTTGAGAGGCTGACATAGCCCTGCTAGTGGATTAGTTTGTTCTGATTTGGATTTGGACATAGATTGAAAATGGAATGTTTTAGGCTCCAAGATATGTTATCTTTATTTAATATTATTATTATAAATTTATGTTCTATTTTGGTGTTCTTAATTATTTGTGTGCTGTCCTGTGCGCTCATTGATGTGAGATTAGCAGCATAAATAGTTAGATAGTTAGTTAGTTAGTTAGTTAGTTAGTTAGTTAGTTAGTTAGTTAGTTAGTTAGTTAGTTAGTTAGTTAGTTAGTTATAGAGGCTACAAAAAAAGTAAATGGGCACATTCTGTGTGTGTGTGTGTGTGTAGATGGGGCTGCTTTAGACAATTCAAGAACATTCTGTATGGAGAGACAAGGATTATAATACATAAAAAAGCTTTTCAAATAATAGAATGGAATTTGTTTTCATTGAAACAGTTCCTCCAAATGCATTCTTCTGAATTTAAAATCTTTGAAGCACTGTTGCTAGATTATACAGAAAAATGTTAAATTGATCAATATGTAATTTTCAGTACCAAGTTTCATAAAAAAAGGCCAGTTGGATAAAATATTAGACTAGAAGCCAGGAGCTGGTGAGTTCTAGTCCCACCTTAGGCATGAAGCCAGCTGGGTGACCTTGGACCGGTTCCTCAGCTCTGGGAAGCAGGCAATTGCAAACCACTTCCCCCCCAAAAAAACTTGCCAAGAAAACTGCAGGGATTTGTCCAGGCAGTCTCCAGAATTCAAAAACTGTCTTGTAGACAACCTCCCACACACACCTCAAAAATGTGTACAACCAATTGGGGGGGGAGTATGTTTCTTCCAGCTTCACAATTTCTTCAGGCTTTTTTCCAAACATCAGAAAGTGATTCACGTTTCCTGAAACTACTCCAATAAATCATATGCCTTTAAAATAAAAACCTGTCCAACAAATGAGAAACAGAAAAAAAAATACATAGCAGTTTCCTATAGAAAGTGAAAAGAAGTTCCACTATATCTTAAGCATGTACATTTCACATTCAGATCAAGAATAGATACAAAACAATTCATAAATCCTTTTCCAACCTAAAGGCATAATAGAAAAATGTCTGCTGAATCTTGGAGAAGTTGCCGACCAAGTTAAGTTCATCAGTTCTTCCCTCAGGAGTAGACTCTCCCCTACCAAAAAAGGGCAATGTATTATATTATAGTGGGCTTCAGGAAACACAAAAATAACAGCCAAAAATACAGCATACATAAAAGGAGGGAGATGGGAAAGGAACTGCTAAACTGAAAAATGGTGCTGCCTTGTGTTCTTCAAGTAATCTTCCTTCCAGCTTACAAATTCCCACATTCCTTAAAAACTTCCCTATTGCTTTTCAAAATCACATCTACCCAAACATATTATTGATAGTCATTTGTACATTAAAACCAAACATCAGTCCCCAAATCACAAAAATATGCAAATGCAAACTATTGGTATTCAAGACTCTATATGCTTATTTAAGATGACCATGCCAACAGGCTATAGGAACAAGATATTTCTTTTTCAAGGAATAGATCTCTTTGAGCAACAACTACGAGAAACATTATGCTCACAAATAATGTTTGTCTGACTTGACCATTTGGAACGATTGTGTTCGAAGGAGCCATTTCTTATCAGAGCCAATTGCCGTTCAGGAAATTCCTACAGAATTTCTTTCCCTGGAAATCTTACATAACGTGTATTATATCATCTTGGCACTGGCATGTATTTTGCTTTTCTCCTTAAAAAAAAAAAGGAGGCGGGAAGGAAGAATCAGAACACAAAGCAAAATAAATAAATGAATATTAAGATATAATGTTGCGTTATCTTACAATGTTCTAAGTGTGGACCACTTGTAACTCCCAAACATGTCCATTGGAGTTTAATTGACTATGTCCCTGAAATGTTGCAGTGTGCATTCCCATTCTTTTGAGCTAGGAAATGCATGGAAACTGCATAGTAATCCCTAAAATAGGATTTTCACTGGTTTTTTTTTAAAAAAAGAAATTAACCTGACAAAACCAGGTGACCTCCAGCACAAATGCAGCTGCCTGTGCAGGAAAGGGGATTGTGACATTAAAGATTGGGCGAGACCTGGCTTAAAAACAGTAACTATGAGAGGGACCTCAGAGTCCTAGTGGACGATCACTTAACCATGAGCCAGCACTGTGCAGCAGTAGCCAAAAAAACTAATATAATCCTGGGTTGTATAAACAGAGGCATAGAATCCAGATCACGTGAAGAATTAGTACCGCTTTATAAAACCCTAGTAAGACCACACCTGGAATACTGCAGCCAATTTTGGTCACCATATCATAAAAAAGATGTTGAGAGTTTGGAAAAAATTCAGACAAGAGCAACTAAGATGATCAAAGGCCTGGAGACTAAAACATACGAAGAACAGCTGCAGGACTTTGGTTTGGCTAGTTTAAAGAAAAGAAGAAATAGGGGAGACATGAGAGCAGTATTCCAGTATTTGAGGGGCTGCCACAAAGAAGAGGGGGTCACGTTCACCAGAGCACCAGAGGGAAGGACGAGAAACAATGGTTTGAAACTGTTCAAAGAGAGAAGCAACCTGGAATTAAGGAGAAACTTCCTGACAGTGAGGACAATTAACCAGTGGAATAGCTTGCCCCCAGAAATCGTGGATGCTCCATCAACGGAGGTTTTTAAAAAGAGGCTAAAGACAGTCACTTGTCTGAGATAGTATAGGTTCTCCTGCTTGAGCAGGGAGCTGGACTAGAAGATCTCCAAGGTCCCTTCCAGCTCTATTCTATTCTAAACTGATATATTTTCACCGGCTTTCTTCTTTTTTGACTCAGTACTTTGTTTTTATATGGCTATCCCATTCCACACCTTCTAAACCAACTGTTAAATAAAACAGGATGTCTGCAGACCCAGAAGAATGGAATTAATTCATTAATTAATTAAAATTTAAAAACATGGGAGGAGCTGAGAAGAAATTCAGAGCTATGTTTACTGCTTAACCCAAGGCTTTGTTAGTAGCAGAGAAGGTGGGAGACAAGGTTTGGGGAGGAGGGCAAATGATACAATGAGAGTTGTGATACAAGCCTTGTCTCTTTTGTAAGTGCATCATGACAGCACACACACAAACACACACACTTAAATAAGAAGCAGTGCTACAGGGCTCATTTCAACATCCTGATGAAACAGTTATTCTGTCAACATCTCTGATGGAAGATACATTCTTTTTTCACCTTTTTCTCCCCTTCTTTCCCTCTCCTTCTGGTGTCTGGATATAAATGTGCACACAAGTTAAGTCATACTGACCTGATAATAAAAATACATTGAGTATAGTCTAATGCTGGATAAAAACACATAATATAATTAATTATAAAAGATTATTAAAAAGATCTAAAATATTTATTTATGTTTCTGGTGAATCCCCCATGCTGCTGCACAGAATCTAGCCACCTGTACCGTGATCACTGCCTGCTCATCCTTAAGCAGCCACTGGAGATAAATACTTTCCAAACGACCAGGATACCTATCAATTATGGGGAGGATATGTTTTTTCCGAATAGCTCTATAGAAGGAACATCAAAGGAGTATGTGTCCAATGGCCTCCACCTCTCCTGAGCCATAGGAGCAAAGTCTTTCAGCCAATGGTGTCTTTTTATACTTGCCGTACAGGACGGTCAATAGAAACGCATAGCACCATGTGAGAATGCTTTCCGGTGGTTTATTGACTCCAACTAAGATACCTGGCAGGTGTAACCACGTATC